GTTTGGTGATTTCTGGGAGAATTGTGTTGGGCTTAGGTGAGGATGAAGGAAGGTGTAGTGGAATTTCTAGGAATTGAGAAATGCTGGGGGTAGGGTCATCTTGATTGATAGAGGGATTTTTTTGGAGAATTTTGGGTGGAGGGGGGACTGCAGTAGTGAGCTGGGAAGGTGTATTGTGGGCAGGGGCGTGTGTTTTGATGTATTTGTTTGGGGCAGAGGTGGGAGGGTGATTGTTGGTTTTTTTTCTATATGTGTTTGTTGTGTTGCACTTCTGGTTTGGCCCCTCTGCCATGGGTCTTTTGTCAGCATATTTGATGTAGTTATTATGAGGCTGATCTTTGGGTTTGGGAGGAATATTTCGGCCAGTGCTGTTGAGGGGAGGGGTTTGGGTTTTTGAAATGTGCTTGCAATCTGAATTATGTCTTGAGACTCCCTTGCAGTCCTGACAGTAAGATGGAACATCCTCATAGGAAACATTGAGAAAGAGAGGCTGATCTCCATTATGAACCACAATCTTGTTGATTTGTGGTTTAGAAATATCAACCTCTACACAGATTCTCGCCAGGGAGGGTCTGCCAAAGTTTTCTGTTGTGGCATCAAGTTTAATTGGAGTACCAAAAATCAGTGCAATATACTGTAGGGGTTCTTTGGCATGGAAATGTATAGGGAGATCATGAATAGAAATCCAGACCGGAAGGATGGGTGATTCAACTTTAGGGTCAAAGAAAGGTGTCCATTTTGAAATCATCATTTTAAAAGAACCCAGCATCCATTCCCTACGCTTGAAACATCTATGATATTCCTCCTCATTAGAGAAGTTAAGAAGGATGTGTGCATTGTCGATGAGAGTGACAGAGAAAGCTTTGAAGCCAATGCGTTCCAGGTTTTGTCTAGTGAAATCAAGGCTAGGTCTCCCAAAATAGAAAGATCCAACCAAGGCCTTAGAAAATCTAGATGCCAGAAGACATACCTCTTCATTAGTGAAGGCAATACATGGAATTCCTTTGTGTTTATCCACTTGCCTGGGGGGAGAGTAATGGGAGGGATCTTGTTTGCTGCTGAAACAGTGGCTGCTGCATAGCTCTTCCCTAGCTTTGCTGGTCCAGGAAAGAGTGAAGAGTTGATGGAGGGGAAGGGGTTGTTGGAGGAAGGTAAGGTTGGCAGCTGGGGGTGGCCGGAAGCCTCCCCGGAGGAAGTCGCCGGCATAAACTTACGGCATGAAAGGCTAGAGAGAGAAAAAAAATTCCCTATATATATATATATATATATATATATATATATATGGGTTGGTTCAAGTACTGATGATCACAGTAGATATGGCTTAGTCACTACTACAAAAAAGGTCTTTTGAATCGGTTATTTTTACCTTTCTAAATCGGTTGTCAACCGATGAAATGCTGATGTAACTATTTGCATCGATTGTAAAATTGATTCAAAAGCCCCTCCCCAGAATTGGTGCCACCTCTGGGAAGGAGCATTTTCATCGGTTGTTTGCAAACTGATGCAAACAACCGATGCAATAGCCCCTCCCCAAAATTGGCGCCACCCTGGGAATGGGCATTTGCATCGGTTGTTTGCAAACAATCGATTCAAATGCCCCTTCCCATAGTTGGCGCCAATTCTGGGGAGGGGCTTTTGCATCAGTTGTTTGCAAACAACCGATGCAAATGCTCCTTTCCCATTTCTGAAATCAAACACAAAGTAATTAAACAATCTATATTTCAAACGCAATCTATATCACAATGTCACATTTCAACTTAAACATAAACACAAAAGCAATTCAAATATATAGTAAATAAAGAAAATACATTGAAAAAAATTTAAAATTATATTTACCACTTGAGATAAAAAATATTCACCTAATATATAAAAAAATATATATAAATAAATAATACTATTATTAAAAATTTAAAGTGCAATATTAAAAAAAAATACCTTAAGAAAATGTGAAGGGAGGTACGGCGAGGGTAGAGGAGCACAGCGACGGCAACGGAATGGTGACGGAGGAGATGGCGGCGAGGGGTTGGCGACACAACACTAGGGGATGACAACGATCGGCGACGGCTAGAATGGCGCGATTTGGAGGTTTGAGGCGACGGCAAGAATGGTGAAGCTTGGAGCGACGGCGGGCGATCTACGGCAACGACGACGACACGATGACGGAAGAATGGCGAAGCTTAGAGGTTTGACAGAGTCGACAAATAGTGTGAAGGGTTTGGAGGTTTTTTTTTCAAAATCGCGTAAAGATAAGAATTAGGAGGATGAATATAACAACACCTTTTGAATTGGTTATTCCTAATAACCAATGCAAAAGGGTAGTTGCATCGGTTATTAGGAAAAACCGATTCAAAAGGTTATCAGCATTTGAATCGGTTATCCCTAATAACTAATGCAAATACCTTTTTGCATCAGTTATTAGGGATAACCGATTCAAATGCGAAGCCATACGTGAATTTTTTCCCTTTAAAGTCATTTGTTTTGCTGGCCGATGCAAATGGGGGATTTATTTGGTCGTTTTTGTAGTAGTGTGTGTTTCTCATGAAACACAAGTTAGAGGCATTTGAAGTTTTTAAAGATTTAAAAATGAATTAGGGAAACAACTCTGAAAGGATATTAAGACCTTACGATCTCATTGTGGAGGAGAATACCTGAGCCATGAGTTTGATGACTATCTTAGAGAGCATGGGATTCTATCCCAGCTTACTCCTCCTGGCACGACACAATGGAATGTAGTGTGTGAGAAGGAATCGAACCCTAGCCTGTTAGTTATATATGGTTCGATCTATGATGAGTCATGCAACGCTTTCAGACTAGCTCGTTCTAGAGATACGCCTTTGGTACGACAACATATACACTCGATAGGGTTCCAACCAAAGCGGTTGAAGGGACAGTGTATGAGATATAGACGGGCACGAGCCCGAAATTAGCCCATATCAAGATTTGGGGCTGTGAGGGTTATGTCAAACGTGTCATGACAAATGGCAAGCTTGACGCCAAATCTGTCAAGTGCATTTTCATCGGGTATCCCAAAGAAACGCGAGGATACTATTTCTATCATCCAACTGACAACAAAAGTGTTTGTTGCTCGGAATAACCCTAAACCTAACGATTCAATAAAAGCGACGAGGAAAAGAACCGTAAAGAAACTTGGAAGGAGCTTATAATTTCGCTCACCTAATAAAATCTAGATTACAATATAATAATTAATAATAATACTAAATAACTAATAAATATATAATCAAATAAAGTAAACCCCCTAAATAGGAGTAAAACATTAAGCTTAACCCTAATATAAGAGTCCATGAATTATATACCCAAAATAGGAGTAATTACCGTCCTATTTAACGGTAGTTTGAAATCCTCCGTTTCTTTCTTTTCTTTGGTTCAGCAATCCCTCCTCTCTGCCTTTTTCCTTTGTCTCTTTCGTACCAACTGCCCAGCGGCAACTCTTCTTCGCTGCTTCGTTGCTTGCGACACACTCTTGATTCTTCTATTTCGCTTTTCAATTCCCCCTCATCTACGAGTTTATTGTGTCAATTTCAATTTGCTTTTCAATTCCCCCTCATCTTCGATTTTACTGTTCGTGATTTGGAGTTCTCATTCACCATAGCCATTGCAGTAGGTCAGTTTCTTCTCATAACCTTCGATTTTATGAATTCTCATAACTCTCTACAATTTATGATTCTAGTTTCTGCATTAATTTTATATTTTACAATCATAATTCTCATACATCTTTGAATTGTTCTACTGTTTTGTTAATTGAGTGTATTTGGAGTCTTCACTGCCAAACATATACTGTGATTTTCTTATGTTTTTTATTCATCTGCAGCTGTATCTTTTACTTTGATGGCAGACCAGATGTGGATAATGGTTAATGTTGATGGAAACTGGTCTCCTAATAATATTTTTATTTCTAAGTACACAATTGGAGTCCCAATTCCAAATAACAGCTCATTCCAAGATTTAATGTTACATCTGAAACGTGTAATTTGCAAGGAACGCTTTCGTGTTTCATACGTTGTTGGGTCCATTCTTCCTCCTGTGAATATAGATGATGAGAGTAGCTTCCAATTTTATATGCAATTGAAGTGTATTGAGTGTGATTTTACGAAGCTTTCATTGTGCATCGAATTTGTCACAAACAATACAAGTTCACAGGGTGTCATAATGTCACAATTTAATGAGTTTGGCACTATTATTGATGCATCTTCTTCCACTTTTCCCGTTCCTTCTGTTGGTACTTCCCAGAGTCTTCTTCTTACGCAATTCATACAGCCTCTTTCCTTATCAAGTGAATATGTCTGTATTGCTGAAAGCACAGATTCTGTGTCAGTGGAAACCACACCTAATGTTGTTATTTCTCATTACCATCCAACAACTATTCGCATGGATTGCATATACAAGTCAAAGATGGACCTTCAGCATCATTTGCAAATGTTTTCCATTGTAAATAACTTCCAGTTCAGAACTGTAACTTCAACGAAGACATCCTATCATGTCGTGTGTGTTGATGCTAATTGTAAATGGGCCCTTCATGCTGTACGTGTATGTGGTGCAAGTTTATTCCAAAATAGAAGGTATATTTGCATGTTGAAGTCTTATTAGACCCTCTCACTTGAATAGGTATATACACACGCACACCCTTTTGTGTTTTAGGTTTGACTCAGAACATTCTTGTCCTGTTGACTTTCGCGAAGGCAATCATAGACAGGCAACATCTACCCTTATAGCAGGCTTGGTTGCACATCGTTATGCAGATGCTTCGAAAAAGCCGTACCACCCTATTGACCTTATGGACGACATGAGGAGGGAATATGGGATTACTATGTCTTATAAGAAGGCTTTGGTAGTTAAAAGAAAACCGATGAGCAAACTCTATGGTTCAGATGATCAATCGTACCGCTTGTTGCCTTCGATGTGCTATATGCTTGAGAAAAATAACCCGAAGTCTGTTATATCTCTCACAACATGCGAAGATGGCAAATTTAAGAATATGTTCTTCTCACTTTGTGCGTGGAGGCAAGCATGGATTCATTGTTTTCCAATCCTTATTATAGATGGGACTTTCATGAAGGCTTACTTTCGTGGAACATTGCTGACTGCATGCACACAAGATGCTAATCGACAGATTGTCCCTTTAGAATTTGGCATATGTGACGCTGAGAACAATGATTCTTGGTTGTGGTTCTTAAGCAATGTGAAACATTCACTAATTGAACGCAGTGACATGTGCATCATCTCAGACCGTCATGATGGTATCTTGTTTGCAGTAGATAAGGTGTTTCCTTCCATTCATCATTGCTATTGTACTGAACATATATTGCGCAATCTCAAAGGGAAATTTAAGGGCAAATCAGAATCAATTGAGTGGAAGTTCAGAGCTGCTTCTCGGGCTGCTACTCTTGAAGAGTGTGAGGAGTATCTTTTAATGTTGGATGAGGATGATCCACGTTTACGGGTATACCTTGATAAGATTGGAGTTGCAAAGTGGTCTCGATGTAAGAGTCCAACATCACGTTACTCCTCCATGACTTCAAATTTGGCTGAGTCAATGAACAATGTCAATAAAAATGCACAGGATTATTCTGTAGCAAAATTGGTTGAATTCCTTCGTGGTAGGATGCAACGATGGTTCCATGAAAGGGCTGAGATTGCTAGTTCCACACGTACTCCTCTTCCAAAAAAGCGCGAGAATGAACTGATTCAATTGCAACGTGATGCATTTCTGATGAAGGTCTTTATTTTAAGAGTAGAATATTCACTGCTTCATGCCTTTCTTTTTCATCGTTCTTTGAATGCAGTTGAGAATATAAAGTACTTTTCTTGGGCACTACATTACTTATTATCAACTCACTATTATCTGTGTTGTGTAGGTCAATGCCTCCTGTTCATATGAGTTTGAGGTTACTGATAATGATTCTCGATCATTCATTGTCAACCTAAAGGAAAAGACTTGCACGTGCTACGAGTTCCAACTTGATAAATTTGTATGTGTGCATGCTGTTGCAGCGATTGGTAAACGCCCTGGGTTATCCTGCTACGAATTTATTTCCACCTTTTACAAATTGGAAGCATTGGTGTGCACATATGCTGGAATTGTTCATCCTATTGGTGATGTGTCTGGATGGGTGATTCCTCAAGAGATTCTATCAAGGAAATGTGACCCTCCATCTTGCAACAAGCGCCCTCCTGGAAGACCTAAGAAGAAAAGGTATCCTTCTGTAGGGGAGTTCCGTTACGGGAAATGTAGAGTGAAGCAAAGATGTTCGAGGTGCAAGTCTCATGGCCACAACATGAAATCATGCACCAATCCAATTCCAATGGCAGATGCAGCTCTTACTTAAGAGTTGTTTAGTATCATTTACTTTATCTCTTTCCAACTATATGTATTTCAATTTGAGATGTTCTTATTACGAATATGGATGATTTAATGTTTTATGTTCTTTTTGTTGAACAATATGGTCCTTGAACTCCACTCTTTATATTTAATAGCCAAATACTTGTTACATTTTTACACAATTTCAAGAGTTACACTTTATACGTCCATACATGACTCCATAAAATGGAATTTATTTCCCTGTAATAAATTTAAACAATACATTTAACACCACAGAGTGTCATTTTTTTCACAGTACTCTTGTAATTTCAAATTTATGTTTTATTCTCTATTTGTCTTTCTTAACACATTGTATTGGTTGTTTTATTCTCTATTTGTCTTTTTTTGACACAATTTAAATATATGAACTTTATACTTACATTGATGACTGCGTAAAGAGGAAATTATTTCACTAGAATTGATTTAAAAAACACATTTAACACAACACAATTTCAACAGTTTCACTTTCACATTACTTCAAAACACAACAAAGGCACATGTACCCCAAACACAGAATTCTAGTACAGAATGAAACTAAGTCACAATCCAATATGCCAATGACCATCACTGACCATATGAATTGTTGTCATACACAAAAGGTTTCATCATACAAATCAAAAATAGCAATAGAGTTTTCAACCAGCTCAATACACAAAACAGATAATAACATCAATATGTTTTATAGTCACTCCTTTGCAGCCATATTTGACTCTGCAAATCAAACTAGCTCTGTAGCCATCTTCATCCTATATGATGCCATTTGATCTGTACGAATGTCCCTAATAATGTCCATATCCATCATGAGGTACTCTGCAATTTTAAGCACAAACATACCACAATTCCCACTGCAAAAATCAAGAAATATATTAGGAGACCCTATTTAAAAGATGTACAGAAAAAATCTCTCAACTACAATGTTTTGTTTTATATGTTGATACTTACGCATCAGTCTGTTGTGGGTAAAAATCTGCAGCCTTCAAATCAAGCTTGTTGTCTCCCATTGGTCCAGTAGGATGATTAATGTAGACATCACACAAATCCATTAACTTGGGTAGAAGGCATTTGATGCAAGTGCTATATTCAGCAATGTCTTTAAGAGATCTCCCTCCCTTTGAATTATAAACCCATACTATTTTGGACTCCATCGCTAACACTAGAAGTACCCAATGCCCCCTAGTATTCAGTGGCATATAGACAAAATCTGATCGGGCCCAAGGGAAAGCACACGTTCTTGCAAAACCAAACACTTCAGCTGTCAAGTTTGAAACGCTTCCAACATCTTCTTTGTTTTTAATTTTCTTGTCAATGTCATCTTGATGCCGCTTAAGACATTCCAGGAAAAAAGGTGTCACAGTTGAGTATGTTTGTGTGAGCTTGTAGTTGAATCTTTTCACCTCCAAGTAAAACATGCCAACCTCCATATGCTGTTATGAGTATAGGAAAACAATATCAGGTCAGTATTTATCGACAATGCTACATACAGTGTCATTACAATTGGAAATGTTATTTTGAAAAACAACTTACCAGTGTATCCAGCCACTCTTGATCCATGAAGAGATCATAAAGCCATGTTTTGCTGCTGATTATGAATTTATCCAGTACGATAGGCTTCTTTGTCATGTTTTCATCTCCTTTTGTATAAATCTTTCTGACTCCTGTTCTGGCCTTCCTCTTCAACATACCACATTCAAGGAATGTCTTAAGTTTATCAATATCTTCTTGTGGGAGCATTTCCTTAGGGTTCAGGCTGAATGGTCCAATCACGACTTCAATTTGACTTAGAGTTACTTCAAACTTGATCTTCACAGCTTCCTTCATTTTCTGTGTCTTCTTTTGCACCTTTCGCCCTGAAAGTGAGAGCTTTTAGGGCTCTTTAGTTTGCCTCTTACTCTTACGTGTCAGCACACAAGGGGCTTCATTTTCAGCATTTCCATTGTATTCCTGCAAATTTGAAACATTAAGTTTCCATTTATGGCATGAGGTCCTTTTTTATCCATTATAGCTTTCAATATAATTCGCTCACACTTATTGGTTGTGCATCAATTATCGTATCCATTTTCACATGCTCAACAAGCTCTTTAGTTGCAGCATCCACATCCATACATTTCCCTTTTATATCCACCCCCTCTTCACGCAACTGCAAAACAATATAAACAGTTACATTGTTTACAGCCAAATCTGACTTGATACAAAGACAATAATATACTCTGTCACACTGCACATTGCCATCTAACACAGTATACTTTGTCACAGACAGTGCCATCTAACACAATACTCTTAATGAGTTAACACTTTCACATCATCAGAATCCTTTATACCATTTAGTCAGTATTTTCTTTTAAGAATGTTTACTTACAGTGATTCCTTGTTCATCAATTGTAGAATCCATCTGCACTTTCTCGAAATTCGCATTTGCCGCGGGCTCCATATCAGATCCACCTTCCTTCTCAAAGATCTGCATGGCAATAATAATGATAAAACAGTTTCACATATTCACAATATACTATCATATTTAATACAATAGTAAATGGTCTTACATTTCCTTCAATTGTGCCTTTCAAAATAGCATTCACTTCTTTGTCCATTTGTTCAAGGAACTGATCACTGAACTGTGTTTCAGACAACTTAGGCAAAGTCTCAATGCTTCTTTCATCTCTCATACCTTCTTTGATTTTATCATCTCCCTCATTACTGACTGTGGTGTCAACATGACCGAGATCATTGTCATCATATTTGGAAGTAGCATCCTTTCCCACATCTTCATGGTCAGAGCCGTCTTGTTCCAAAATGGTATCCTTCCCCATGTTTTTATTATCAATGTCTTCACTCTCAACATTTTCATTGACAATTTCATCATCTATCTTTTTAAAACCCCTCTCCTCTGTATCATCTCCCTTTTATCTTTCTAACTGCTCAAGGATCATCTTCAGCACTTTCCCTTGGCTTTCCTGCATTTTTTTCATGTCATTGAGAATTTTTATAATCTGACTCTGACTCTCCTTCTTCCTCTTTGATTTTCTTTTTGGAAGAAATTCCCCTTTCATGCAGTGACTAATTCTCTTTCTCTTCTCTTTTGGCTTGTTTTGGGCATTTCCAGTTGTTGAAAGTTTCTTTTTCTTAGCACTACCAACACTCAGATTTCTTGCTACAGTTGCACCCTTTTCTGAGCTCTCAATATGTTGCACAGTGTCATCTATCCCCCTTCCTATGTATTCACTAGCAAATAATGCCAATGAAGGATCATTTAACTCCCTCTCACTTGGAATAATCTTTGACACTTCAAACTATGTAAAATAATAAAAAAATATTAATATAATCCAGATTTACTACATATTCTCATTAAAAGAGAATTCCATAGAATACTAACCTCTGGATTTTCAAATATGGCTTCCTGAAGAAACTGTCCTGAAATCTTTGCATAAATCTCCCACCTTAGGCAACGTGGAATCCAGTCTTCTCTTCCTTTTACAATTTGACAATGCCCCGACTCTCTCAAGGAAGGAAATTTCTCAAATGCCCATACCTGTAAGGCAAAGACAAACCCTCCTAACGTCACTCTTCCCCTTCCACGAGCTTTAAGGGATTGTGCACATCTCCCAGCGTGTGTTAACAACTCTTCCCATATGTCTTCACCCCATGGGAATTTATTGAATGCATCCAAATCATCTACTAGGTTAATGTATCCAATAGGAAAAGTAACACATCACTGGTGCCCAAACATAACATTGCCCAACAGATGCGGCAATGCTAGCTTTACAACATCATCAGTTTCTACTCCGGGGTCATCTCGGTTGTGCTGCAGCAGTGCATCCGTAATATGACATCGCTGAACAGATTTTCCCGTATTGAAATACCTTAACACGAAGTCACCCAACCTTTCATCATTCAAAGTTATCCTATTCCCTCCTCTTCCCAGTACTGCGATAAGTTCAAATTCTGGCTTTGTGAACAAGACTTTTCTCCCCTTTATTTTGAACTTCATTTCTTTACATCCAGTTATTCCTTGCTTTGGCAACTTGTACCTTTCTAACAGACCAAGTAAGAGCCCATTACTAATCCATCTAATTTCAGGAACATCCAACAGTTTTCCAAAAACCGTGCCTCTAAAGACTTCAAGCTCCTCCTTTCTCAACACGCCTTTAATTCTACGTACGGTCTCAAGCACATTACAATAAGTGTTAATTCTTCCATCTTTAGGTTGTGCTCTATCACCTTTCTTCACAAATTTACGTGATACCTGTGTATTAAAAGGTTGTTTAAAACAAAAATAAGTCACAATGCAATCACTGACAACAAGACCATAGGTCTACTGGAAAAACGCAGTTCAACAAAAAAACTAGGTCACAATGCAATCCCTCACAACAAGACCATTGGTCTACTGGAAAAACTCAATTGAACAACGAAAATAAGTCACAATGTAATCCCTCACAACATGACCATAGGTCTACTGGAAAAACTCAATTGAACAATGAAAATAAGTCAAAATGCAATCCCTCACAACATGACCATGCATCTACTTGAAAAACTCAATTGAACAACAAAAATAAGTCACATTGCAATCCCTCATAACATCACTATGCATAAACTGGAAAAACTCATTTGAACAACAAAACTAGGTCACAATGCAATCCCTCACAACAAGAACATGCATGTACTGGAAAAACTCAATTGAACAACAAAAATTAATCACAATGCAATCCCTCACAACAAGACCATGCATGTACTGGAAAACTCAATTGAACAACAAAACTAGGTCACAATGCAATCGATCACAACAAGAACATGCGTCTACTGGAAAAACTCAATTGAAAAATGCAATCCCTCACAACATGACCATGCATCTACTGGAAAAACTCAATTGAACAACGAAAATAAGTCACAATGCAATCCCTCATAACATCACCATGCATCTACTAGAAAAACTCAATTGAACAACGAAAATAAGTCACAATGCAATCTCTCACAACAAGAACATGCATGTACTGGAAAAACTCATTTGAACAACAAAACTAGGTCACAATGCAATCGATCACAACAAGAACATGCGTCTACTGGAAAAACTCAATTGCACAATGCAATCCCTCACAACATGACCATAGGTCTACTGGAAAAACTCAATTGAACAATGAAAATAAGTCAAAATGCAATCCCTCACAACATGACCATGCATCTACTGGAAAAACTCAATTGAATAACGAAAATAAGTCACAATGCAATCCCTCATAACATCACCATGCATAAACTGGAAAAACTCATTTGAACAACAAAACTAGGTCACAACGCAATCCCTCACAACAAGAACATGCATGTACTGGAAAAACTCATTTGAACAACAAAAATTAATCACAATGCAATCCCTCACAACAAGACCATGCATGTACTAGAAAACTCAATTGAACAACAAAACTAGGTCACAATGCAATCGATCACAACAAGAACATGCGTCTACTGGAAAAACTCAATTGAACCACAAAAATAAGTAACAATGCAATCGATCACAACATGCCCACGAATGTACTGGAAAAACTCAATTGAACAACAAAAATAAGTTACAATGCAATCCCTCACAACATCACCATGCACAAACTTGAAAAACGCAATTGAAAAACAAAACTAGGTCGCAATGCAATCCCTCACAACAAGACCATGCATTTACTGGAAAAACGCAATTGAACAACGAAACTAGGTCACAATGCAATTGTCGCAGGTCGGAAACTAAAATTCAGTACCTTCGGTCGCTTCGCCATTTGCTTTGTCGCAGGTTGCTTATCTTCATCAGCAATTTCATCCGATCGAGTGTCCTCTTCGTCCGTCATCTTCTCCGATTAAGATACAATGCGAAGTAGAAGAATTGGGAAGGAATTGAATTGTGAAGCAGAGGAATTGTGAATTTATCTGTTTTTTCAATTGTGAATTGGCGCTCTGATCGAAGAAGAACTAATGGTGGCTAACGGGTAATTCGATTGGCTTTGACGGCTACTGGTAACGGAGACAGGTTATGATGGCTAACGGCGACTCCTATTGGTGGGATTTAATCTTCTCACTCCTATTTTGGGCTTTTATCATTGTTTTACTCTTATTGGGCTCCTTAACCCAATCAAATATCCATAACACAATAGCCTTAAACTTGCCCCAAACATCGATCTCTTTTATCTTCTCGTGACAGAAAGTAAAAGGGGCGGGGGGAGGGAATTTGGTGGTAGTGTTTATCCTTCCTCGTCTTTCACCAAAGAGGACCTAATTATTATTAGTACATGAAAAAGAAAGAGCGGGCCCACTGATCTTTGAAACTACAAAGACCAACCGTAATTAAACTCTCCGTTTCAATTTATTATTAGTGCTAGAATGAGTAAGTAGTCTTCAAGTCATCTCAATTAATAATTTGTCGCTTGGGACAAGCTGATTAAGGGCTGTGCAAGTATAAAAAGAGATAGAAGCGCTTCTCATTTCTGTATGTGCAGCTCATATATTTAAATATATATTTATCTCTCTAGCTCCCTCCCGTACTGGAGCATATATATAGAGTTCGTCGTCCTTAATTAGCTTATTACTCTTTTGCTTAAGATATTATTATTGAAATATATATATATATATATTTAGGACGACATAATACATAATGGCGATGAGAGATCTTGTGGTAGAATTCAGCCATTTTTTGGCAAAGATAAAACCATACTTGTTAATGGTCTCCCTCCAGTTTGGGTATGCTGGGATGTACATAATAACCATGATTTGCTTGAAACGAGGGATGAGCCATTGGATCCTCGTTGTGTATCGTCACGCTGTGGCGTTTGTTGCAGTCGCCCCTTTCGCTCTTCTTCTTGAAAGGTATACTTATATATTTATATATACCGATCAGATTTGAGTGCATGTGTCCTTAGCTTGTTAGAGTATTTAAATAACTTTATCTGAGTCACAACCATAAACTTGAAATTTTTGTTGAGTATTGTAACTTGAAATTCTATATTGCATCTAAGGTCCACCATAAATTTACATATGAACAAAATAAGTATTTTTTTACTACTTAAATAAGTATTCTTTTTTTTTTTTAAATAAAAAAAATTACGTGAAAAGATCCACAAAAATTATATGCACCCAAGGTGCACCAACCAATTTAGTATGCACCCAATGCCTACCTGCAAATTTAAGATTAATGATGTTTAAAGGTGATCATGTTATATTCAAAAAAAATCAAACTAGAAATCTTTCCCATTATAAGACTTTCAAGAGTGAAAGAAGGCAAATTCTTATGTGGTTTTTGTGTCCATATTCAATTTATGTACCTTAGTACATAAGTACAATGTAAGTGTTGGAATTTTTGAAAAAAAAAACAAAATATATACGTGATGCATGAGATTTCACTCTTAAAAAGAAAATCTCAATCATGCAACTCTTATTTTTATCACTTCTTTTAAGTTTAGTAAAGTAAAACTAAATGTAAACTTCGTTTTGAAAATGTGTGTGTGTATACAAGTGTGCTTTCATGATGGGAGGGAATACCATCAAACATACTCCTAGCCTATTCTTAATTTATTGGCTGCTTTACTTTATTAATGTATTAAAAAGTTTTTTTTATAAATTATTAAAGTGTTTAAATAGAATCTGAATATAAAGTTATATTTATATTTGTATAATTTTCTATATATGTATCAAAAGATCAATGACACATTCAATTATTAAGATTGAGGAACAACGATTCATATGATATATATTTATCTATTATGTTTTCATACAATTAATAAAGTGATGTTATATTGATAAAAATGTGCTAATTATACGATACTCCGTACACCATAAGATTTTAACACTCGTCATCAGGCGTCTATTCCTTAAAGATTTTATTACTATCATTATTCCACATCAATTATTAATTAAAGTATATATATATATAGTTGAGTATTTAAGTACTTATCTAGTTTAACAATTTACAATCCACCATTCCACCAAAATTAAATTTTAAACAATAATTAGATACAAATTACATGAATTAATTAAACAATAAATTGACAATATTTTACAAGATAAATGCAATAAAATTATTCGTGACAATAATCAAAATTTATCAATTTTGATTACAAAAAGTCAAAATTAAATAAATACTACATACACTTCATTTGTCCCAATATCTTCATGTTTCTCTTTTTTCACCGTCTAGATTAACTCTCCCCATTTCTCACATGTGATTTAACAAAAATATTCTTCATCTTTAATTTTTCTCCGTCTGGATTTAATCAAAAATAAAAAATTTAATCCAGACCAAGTAAAATAATATAGATTGATTACTTTGAGGCCGCGATTATTCTACAAGGATCATTGATTTAATTGTTGTACTTCATTTGATTTCGCATTCCTCGAAAATCTATATCGTATTCATTACGTACTGAAATGCAGGAAAACAAGGCCAAAAATGACAACCCGAGTATTCCTCAAGATCATAGCACTTGGGATTCTAGAGTAAGGATCATTACTACTACTTCATTAATGCTAAGCCTTATGCTTTCAAAATATAAAACCAAACAAAAAAGTCTTTCATAAACAAACTTTACAAAAACTTTTTTTTCGTAATTCGAGAGAAAAAATTTATGCTTTAACACACCTCGCATATACGTTGATATTTCTTTTTACCCGGGAATTGCATGTAAACATTAATATTTTAAAATTATTTGATAGTAGAGTTTGAATTCATGACCTTTAGGTTTATGGAGTACAATTCTAATACTTCGTATTATGAAAGAAACCCACATAAGCAAAAGTTGGAAATGATTAATGTACACCATTAAAGGTTTTGAATTTGGGCAATGCTAGGGGTACACCAACATGGGGTACTCCAAGTGTACACCAAACCAACACAGACACACACAGACACAAAATGTCCGTGCAACACAGACACTTTGTGTCTGTGTGTGTCTGTGTTGGCTTTGGTGTACACTTGGGGTACCCCATGTTGGTGTACCCCTAGCTTAATTCTTTGAATTTTCTTTAAAAAAAGTAAAAGTGTAAAGCTCATGACTCCCTGTTCCTAAATAATGTTGTCACCATTTGTTTTGTACTCCCTCCGTCCCGGAAAAATGGGAGCTTTGATTTTGAAGAGGGATTTAAGAAAAGTGTATTTTAGTATTGAGTTTCTAAAAATGTCCTTTGATGTGATTGGTAAAAGTATGATTTGATGGATAGATTATTAGTAAAAAGGTATGATGTGATACGTATGGTATGAAAAAGTAAGGGGTAAAAGTGACTTTTTAATAGAAATGAGAAGTGTTTTTTGGGACGGATGAAAAAAGAAAGGAGAAAGGTTTTCAGAGACGGAGGGAGTATAATACTCCCTCCGTCCCTAAATAAACTTCCCCTTTTGACTTTTTGAGGATTTAAGGAAGGGATATTTTTGTGTTGACTTTCCAAAAATACCCTTGATGTGATGTGTAAAAATAAGATGTGATATGTAGATTATTAGTAAAAAAGTATGATGTGATAGGTAGGGTATGAAAAAGTAAAGGGTAAAAAGGGTTTTTAAAGGAAAAGAGAAGTTTATTTGGGGATAAAGAAAAAACGAAAGATGAAGTTTATTTAGGGACGGAGGGAGTATTTGAAGAAAATTTGCGCATAAAAAATATATTTTTTAAAAATTTCTACACTAATATTTTAGTAATATGTATGTATGTTTGAATTGGAAATAACTTTGATAAAAAAATCATAATCCAAAATAAGAATATTACTTCGGAACAGAGGGAGTATTTATGTTTAGGCAAAAAAGAAAAATAACAAATTGTTATTAGGAGAGAGGATGTATAAGTGTTTATAAACTAATTCAACCAAACATTCAAGTTTATAAGAGTAATGCTAGACTCACAAACTAAATGTTCACAAAATATACAAACTTACCCAATATGTAAAGTAATGGTTTGAACTAATGGCCTCAAACAATTAAAAAATAAAAACAAAAATACACAAATAGTAAATTTGTGTATTTTGTGAGTGCTTTGTTTATGACTCTAGCATTATTCACTTTATAATGGTAGGATGTGGAAAGCTTAACATACCCCACGTGTAGATGTGGTGGTTTCAAGTCTTACACTTGAAAACCTTAATTAATTTTTATGCATGTATACCTCACTTCCTAATTTCCTATACGCTGTCACATACTCCCACCGTTTTTAAAACCTTTCCTTTTAATATTTTTTATTTTTCTTAAAACGCTTTCTTTTTCTATTAAAAAACTACTTTTACTCCTATTTTTTCATACACTACCTATCACATCATAATTTTTCACTAATAACTAAACTATCACATCTTACTTTTACCCATCACATCAGCAGCAAAATTGGAAAGTCAACTAAAATTACACTTTTCTTATTTTTCTCCAAAGTCAAAACAAGAACCGTTTTGAGAAATGGAGGGATTATTATATTTGCTTGCGTACGCTATGGCATGAGAATTGGAAATCACAATTAAATTCCCACCTGTGTACCTATCTAAATAATTAAATTGACATCTACAAATATACGCAATATTACTTTATAGCTACCTCCTCCCCAAATAGACGTCAGGCAAGGACTTACAAGGAGTATTAATTAAGTTTTTCATTTAATTTTTTTTATTTAAAAATTAAATTGGAATAAAAAATAAAATTTATACTAAAGCTGCACAAATTTTTTACAATATTAGATTTATATAATTATATTATTTTATTAAATAATTTACAAAAGTACGTAGTATATATATATATAGGTAAACAAAAATTATAGTTAGCTGAAATAATTTCTAGGAATTTTATTTCGAAATAAAGAGGGAATAAAATTATGGACTATATGATACTCCGTATATACGAGTATTACGTATCTACGCAATCTATTCTCTTATTTGAAAAAGTACAAATTATTCCAAATTATACAGTAGGCTTTTCTGTTAATTATTGACCCAAAAAATTAACTTTAAGAGGCTGGATAGAGATTGCATGGCTTGGTGATAACAATAATTGAATTCTAGACAAGAGAGAATTAAAGCTTTTAGCAGCTCCATATAAAAAATTAGAGTACGTTTAAATTTTAATCTAAAACTCTACCATTGAGCAATTTTAAATTAGTCATGTATGATTTTAGTCAAACTAAAGTTTTCACGCATCAATAGGCTCAAAACCTAACATTCAAAGGAGTATATATTTGGAAACAATTATTTTATGATTTGATAAATTAGCAGTTAACAAGCAAACTTCAACCTACAAATAAATGCCTTTTGGTCTTACGTAGTATTCATTTCCTCTTTTATTAGATACTTTTTTCGTTTTTAAATAATTTACACATTTTACTATAAAATTATGAGAATTCTTGTTTATTTGTATGTTTTCAATGATTATTCGATAAAATAAAATATTCTTATCAACTCTAGTTTTGTACTCTCTCCGCCCCTAAATAAACTTTCCTTTTTGACTTATTGAGGATTTAAGGGGATGATATTTTTGTGTTGACTTTCCAAAAATACCCTTGATGTGATGTGTAAAAGTAAGATGTGATATGCAGATTATTAGTAAAAAGGTATGATGTGATAGGTAGGGCATAAAACAATAAGGGGTAAAAAGGGTTTTTAAGAGAAAAGAGAAGTTTATTTGGGGACAAAGAAAAAACGAAAGGGAAAGTTTATTTAGGGACGGAGGGAGTAGAACTTTTGATATACTTTTTAAATATGTATATTTTTTTTTATTTATATACCAAACTTTAAATAAAAAAACTGGAATTTTTTTTAGATTTTACTTTGTTTTGCATAAAATGTAAATGATTTAGGGACGGTGGGCATATATTATTACCGAGGAACAAACAATTTTAAATTCTTGAATGATGTTAAATCATTTTTTTAATTTGAAGGAAGTTTTGTTGTTGTCTAATGCATCAAAATAGAATACAAACGTAAAGTTGCACTGCTGCTTTCCCTTTTTAATGAAAAAATAAAAATAAAAATAAAATTATATTTAAAAAATATTTTTCAAATTAGAACTCACTTAATTATGTTACATTATCCCATCATCCTGTAAAAAAAAATTTAGTGTGACTTGACACGATTTTAAATAAAGTGAAATGTATGATAATTGTTGTGCATAGGAAAAATGGAATACATATGGGTCAAAGAATTATTCCTTAAAAGAGGGGAAGAAAAATAAAATAATTATTGGACGGAAGAAGTATTTAAAATAAATTATAGGTAAAATTATTTATATTATATTTGGTTCATGGAATTTGTAAAGAAAACAAAACAAAATGATTTTCTCTTAATTTCATCAGTAAAATGAGGAGAATATAATGTGTTTTTCCTCATGTTAGTATATTTTACTTTCTCAATCTCTTTTCGTTCCACATTTCCTTTCGTTTGCTCTCTAACCAAACAAAAAAACTTATTTTCAAATTTATTTTCTTTTCTTTTCTCTTTCAATTTCTTGAACCAAAGATAATGTAAGTCGTGCATATAAGGACTCTGTAAAGAGGAATCAGAATTATTGGACACAACCCAACGATAAAAAAAAAGACACTTGGCATGTTTCTGAAAATAGACGGAATCTTGAAGCACTCCAAAAAAAAGACGGAATCTTGAATGCGTATTTAGGCGTATTGTGGCTTAAGTCTTAGCTAGCTTTCTAAAAAGGATAAACTATGTGTACCATATTTATACACCATCTCAGGTTTGCACCGACATTTTGTGTTGGTGTAAAACTAATTTTTGTTAACGCACCAACATTTGTATTCGTGTAAATTTATGTTAACGCACCAACACTTGTGTCGGTGTAAACCATCAAAATGTTTGTGTATAACTGCGGTGTACAAATGGGGTACAATTTTTGGTGTCAGTGTAACATGGTCCTTCTCAAAATTTGTATTTGGTTATGGAAATTTTCAGACCTGTGATCGATCAAAATTTGTACTACGTGGGGCTGAAGAGTACAACTGCAACATACGCATCTGCTTTCGTCAATGTTTTACCTGCCGTAACTTTCATTCTTGCGGTTATTTTCAGGTTTGTGCCCAATCACTCCATTAATAAATGTACGCAACAGTTGGAATTGCTTTTAGCCATCTATGGGGGAGTGTTTTTTTTGTCGTATCAAAACCCGGGGCACACATGCCAAACAAATTAAAGTTTGGTCAAAAGTTGATCTCTAAAGTTACAACTTAAAAGTGATCCTCACACACAACCAACTAATAAGTTAGCACAAAATGACTCAAAAAGAATTGAATGGTTTGAATTGCTTTATTGAACACACAAGACCTTGAATTATTAATAGAGGGGATATGAATAATGTGATTTCTTGAACATAATCAATACTCCCTCCATCATTACAAACATGAGAGATTTTTATTTTTAAGGAATTCAAAAATGGTGTATTTTGGTGTTGAGTTTCTAAAAATATTTTTGGATGTGATGGATAAAAATAGAATTTGATGGGTATATTAATACTGAATAGATGTAATACGATAGGCAAGTAAAAAATTAGTAAGGATAAAAGTGACTTTTTAATAGGAATGAGAAAAGCTTTTTGAAACGAATGAAAAAAAAACAGAGAAATATTTTCATGGACTGAGGAATATTTCTTTATTTTGGTACCATCTAAACTATAACAAATTTACGTTCACACTGCATAATGTCACAGTTAGATGTTATATGTTGGTGTTTCAAGACATTCTATAATGTCAATATTTTACATCATAAATTCTATTTCACAATAAAATTAAAGCATTGAATATTTTATTTTCGTATATGACAAATTTATTTTTTAGTGGTGAAGGATGTACTCTCTGTGACTCTAAATCTCTTTCACATTTATTTAACTTTTATGAAATTTAAATTGATATAAATGTATTATATATCAGTAGATTTTATTTGAAACATAGTTTTGAAAAATTAATTTTTATTTAATATATAAAATTATTCAATTTATATAAAAAAGATAAGCGGAATAGAAATATTGAAGGAAAGGCTCCTTTCAACAGAAAGAAAGAAAGTAGTATGCAATTGCATGCATTAAAGTAAACCACCTACTAAATTGAATACGTTCTACTCCCTCCCTTTCTTAAAACATTTCCTCTTTTATTTTTTCTTATTTCTTAAGAATACTTCCACTTTTAATTAAAAACCCTTTTTACCCTAACTTTTTCTTATTCTACTTATCACATCATAGTTTTTTATTAATAATGTATCAATCACATCAAAAACAAAATTGTAATATCAATTATAAATATGCATTCCTTATTTTGGCTAAAAGTTAAAATAGGAATGATTTATTGAAACGCGGGGACTATAACAATATATAATACTCCCTCCGTCCCTAAATAAAGTTCCTCTTTCGTTTTTTCTTTGTCCCTAAATAAACTTCTCTTTCCCTTAAAAAACCCCTTTTACCCCTTACTTTTTCATACCCTACATATCACATCACATCTTTTTACTAATAATCTACCTATCACATCTCACTTTAACACATCACATCAAGGGTATTTTTGGAAAGTCAACACCAAAATGTTCCTCCCTTAAATCCTCAAAAAGTCAAAAATGAAACTTTATTTAGGGACGGAGGGAGTACAAAAGTAGTGGTCTACAGCAAGTTATGTTGGACGTACAAGCTGTGGCTTTCCTTTAGAAATGTATATGTGGAGTTTCAATTGTCTACGGAGTGTATAATAAGACGTAAGCCATGGGTCCCATGTAAAAACATTCAGATGGGTGCATATAGCGTACTAATTATACAGTAATGTATTGTTATTGGGTTTCTATTGTTAGGCTGGAAAAGGTGAACCTAAAAAAGGTATCAAGTATGGCAAAATTGATTGGAACTGCAATAACAGTTGGTGGGGCCATGGTGATGACTTTGTATAAGGGACCCGCCATCCATCTCGTTCCCCACTCCGCTAGCGGCGGCCACCACGCCGAAGCCGCCGGAATAGTCGGCGTCCAGAATTGGGTCACCGGCACCATATGTCTCCTTTGTTGCATTGTTGGCTGGGCAGGCTTCTTTATTGTGCAAGTAATTAAGCAATACCTACAATAAACAAATATGACAGACGACATTGAAATTTAATGTCAAAAGAACTGTGACGTTAACTAAGTTAAAACTAATTGGCTTTTGATTTTTTGTGATATCTAGTCGATGACGTTGAATGAGTACCCAGCAGAACTCTCATTGGCAGCTTGGGTGTGTCTCATGGGCGTGGTCGAAGGGGGAATTGTGGCCCTCGTTATGGAACGTGACATGAGTGCTTGGGCTATCGGCTTGGATTCCAGGCTCTTAGCTGCTGCCTATTCTGTAAGTCTCTAAATATCGGTTCCTGAAATATTGTCTTAATTTTCACTCAAATTGTGACACTATTTGACCGCAAATACAGGGTGTGGTGTGTTCAGGAATAGCATACTATGTTCAAAGTGTGGTCAATAAAATGCGTGGCCCAGTTTTTGTGACTGCCTTCAGTCCATTAAGCATGGTCATCACAGCCTTTCTAGCTGCTCTTATCTTGGCCGAAAATGCCCATCTTGGAAGGTAAATCATTATTCTACAATGTACAACTAATCTCATCGGTAATGTACATGTTTTTCTCAACTTTATTAACCTATTTCTTTGAATCACGTGTGTAAATAAATGCAGCTTGATTGGAGCATTTATCATAGTGATTGGTCTCTACTTTGTGGTGTGGGGTAAAAGCAAGGATAATGAAAGTATGGAGAAAGGCAAACTGCAAGAGTTGCCAATTGTGATGGAAAAAGAAAGGGGTGAATCTCTGAACATAATCAACGCTAAGCTTCCAGCAGAAAACATTCCACGAGAGGCTTAATTTGGGAGATACAGTACTTAAAATATGCCTGCAATTTCAACTTGTAATTTCATATTATATATATATATATATATATATATATAGATATATATATCATCAAGAGCGAGGACCGAATACAATCGGCTACAAAAATATGATGGGCGCAATTCTGAATTGCGATATAACGAAGTTCGGACTTGGGATGTTAATATGTAATGTATCCACCATATATGTAACTCTATTCATAAGTACGTTTCTTTAAAATCCCAAAGCAATTCTATGCAGCGATAACGTATCCATATTAGTCTCTATTGTTGATCAATTCTTAACTTAAAATATAAATCAATAATTAAATTGTGTGTATTTAATAATCTTATAAACGTTGTAAGGGATGAGACCATTATTCTAATGCAGAAAGTTCACGTTAAGAGTGTATTATAATGATGGTTAAGGTGAGGATGAAACTCACGAGAATACAGAGGCAGAGGGGAGGCGTAAGATTAGTGTGTTAATTTCTCTCTAATGACCTCTTTATATAGAAAAATTGGTTTCATATAGGACTAAAAGATACTCCCTCCGTCCCATAAAACATGGGATGTTTTGTTTTTTGAAAAGATTTAAGGGTAGTGTATTTTGGTATTGAATTTCCAAAAATGTCCTTTGATGTGATGGGTAAAAGTAGGATTTGATGGGTATATTATTAGTAAAAAGGTATGATGTGATAGGTAGGGTATGAAAAAATAAGGGGTAAAAGTGATTTTTTAATAGAAATAATAAGTGTTTTTTGAGACGGATGAAAAAAGAAAGGAGAAAGATTTTCAGGAACGGAAGGAGTATTACGTTTCCTGAAATAAAATTTAGTATGTTTTATTCCCTATCTGCCACATAATTCTATATGATCTGTCATATATGTCTCATTAGCAACAAGTGTTCGATAATGACCGATTATATAAATGACTCTGTAAATATGGTCATTAGCAACAAGAGTTTGATAATGACTAATTATTTCAATGAGTATTCAAATTTTTTAAATAATGTCTTATTCTACTTGAATTGTGTAAAGTCAATGATCAATTAATTAGATAAATGATAACTCATGTCACATAATAAAAATGTGTCCTACATTCTTCCACTTGGTCGATTAATCATTTATGATGAGTATTAGATAAGTCTAATTAGATTTTAATACTCATTTAGTTCTAGACTAAAACTATAGCAGAAAAATACAGTCATCCAACCGATTGTAAGCCCCTAAATCCGTCCAGGTCTGCAGTCCTTTTAAGACTTAATAAGTATTAACTTGGTAACATAAAAATTTTAAACATTTCAACAATTGAAACTTTATTTCATCGTCATAAAATATTTAGAAACAATAACAAAGTTTATCAAATTACGGAAGCTTAAGAAAGTTTTACATCACAATCATTAATTCATTTTTTAAATAATTATTGAACAGTTCAAAACCATCACACATCCATCTGACATCTCGTGTCCCCATATGTCACCAAGATCAAGCACATCATTCTTTATTTTGTCTAGCTGCGTGTAGCAAATAAAACATACTACACACTCGGCGTTGAATCTCAGTAAGGATATCTAATGCATCGAACATTCACATAAATTGAATCTCAATTCATAATCAAATCATTTAATATCATGCACATAATATTCATTTCAATTATTCGAAATTCATAATGTCAACAATGCTCTTAAATTATCCTTAGCCTAAGCTCAAATCATAACAATGTTCTTAAACTATTTTTAGTCTAAGGCCAAATTCATATTTTCTTAATCGGACTTTTAAACTATGGCTAGTTTAAGGCTAATTCATTTTATTAACTAGGCTCTTAAACTATGGTTAGTTCAAGGCAAGTAATAATCAGACTCTTAAACTACAATTTGTTTAAGGCAAATAATAACCAGACTCTTAAACAATAATTAGTTAAGGTAGAAAGATAACTAGAATCTTAAACTATAAATAGTTTAAGACACTAAACCGAATAGTGGACTACTCACAGTTGGGTTTGGTGGTACCCCCAAAAGAATAGATACTCAAGTTTGGTTTATGGATCCGTACGTACGTTTTAACTCAAGTCACTGGACATCAACCTGCAAGGCCTAACTAGATTGGTCATATGAGGTCTATCTTAGAGTTTTTCTAGATTGCCTTAATCATTTGCGATCATCATTTACATCAAGATATTATTTTTAATCAAGGTTCAATAATCATAATGAACAATAAAAATTAATCATCATAATATTCAATAACAAAAATTTGCTTAGCGTCGAGTGTTAACACTCTAACTTACCATCACGCATCAAATAAGGTTTTTGAATCTATTAAAACATCATATTTAGTTTTGAAATGATATTCACACTTATATATTGTTGTATGGTATCAAAAAAAATGGATTTTATAGATCAAATATCAGGTTTGTGGAAAAATTCCCGGATTAGACGATACATATTACGGTACATAGGTACCGGTGAACGGTACCTTAGTACCGCCCAGACGGTACAGGGTATCGCCTGGTATCAGATCCCGCTAGAGCCGGTTGGCTTGTAGCGGTAGCCAGCTACCATCTCAACGGTATCATGCTATCGCCCAGTAGTAGGTTGCAACTGTTACTGTACCTTGTTCGAAATTCAGCATAGTACTTTGTCTTCAACCTCGGTCCAATTTCGAAAAACATAATTTTAAGCCACCAAACTTCAAATAAACTATATAGAAATATTCTCCAACATTTATAGATCATTTTAGTATCATTAATTTGAAGTTTTAACAACAATTTCAAGGTTTATGATTCTTTGTTCTTCAAGCATGTCAAACACAAAACTCAACCAAACAATCGTTTATGAACGTAGAAACAATCTATGTGGACATTCTAATCACTACATATATCTAAGGGCTTACTTCAGGTGAAAATAAAGGATTTGGAAAAATTCTGACGAAACTTCCAGTGAGGATTATGGCTAACTCCGACGACTTTAATCACTTTGGGTAGCACCACCACATTCTCCACACTCATAGCTAACTCAAGAAAAGAATGAAGGGAAGTGGTGTGGTATTGAAGCAGAAGTGGTTCTCCTTTTATAGGAGTTGAGGTGAGGAAGACGTCAATGGACTTCTATGATTTTGATCAGTGATCGTCAATAGCAGCTAGTACGGTCATGGAGTATTTCATACAACTCTTCTTGATTGGGACTAATTTAAGTCCTAGTTGGGTTACACTTTTTTGTCCAACTTTCTCCGAATTAAAATCAAATTGTACCTGTGCGATCAGACAGTCAAACTCTATACAAATCTATATTTTTCATATTTATTTGTAATAACTTTTCTGACATTGTATTTTTGAATGTTTGACTTTAACAGTGATGGATATAATCCACTAGTACCACCCAGCAAGTTCACAGACGCCCGGGGGTACCAAATTCTGGCACCGCCTGACGTCACCAACCCCGTGAGACTGACCGGGTGGATGTCACAAGCGCCCGAGAGATCTGAAGGCTGACCCCACATGACCTCAACAACCCCGGTAGACTGACCGGGTGGATGTCAGGGGTCAGACATGTGAGATCGTGACTTCATTCGCATAAGGCTTAGGTCTGACCAGGCTTGACCTCACCGTCCCCGTTAATCTGCCCGGGTGGATGGGTTGAAGACTGCCCGGGTGGATGGCTTGAAGACTGACCAGCCGGAAGAATAGTAACGTCGGGACGTGCTTGACGTGCTTGTTCTTTATTATAAATAGGACTAAAAGCCTCATTTGTGAGGCATGCTTTAATTAACCCACACGGCTTGTGCTTTGTAATAGCTCTTATTACCATTAATAACAAACCGGATTACAGGTGTTTCCACCTACAGCCCTTCCGATTACTTATACTTAATATTTGCACAGTAATTTACACCATCAAATTGGCACCGACCGTGGGACCTCTTTACAAAAAGAAGCCATGACAAACAACAATATGGAATCCATCATTTCCCAAACTTCCACTCTGACGGAGGGCGTTACCCTGATCCCGGGAGGAATCACATCATTACCTTCTCTTTTCTCCCCCATGATCACCACCTTCACTACTCAAACAATGCCGAATCAGGCCCTCCAAAACATTGGACAATTTATGCCCATTTTCCAACAACCCGGGGGATTTACTCTTTTCATCCCTGGGATGTATCCCCAGGCTTTGGCTCAAAATACATCTCTTCCCAACACGTTGGGGCATCCCCCGTCATTTCAACCGGCCAGTACCACCCGGCCAGTCATCCCAACAAAACCAACCGGGGAGCTGGAAAGGGCAGGCCCATCTCGGCGTAGGAGGAGCAGATCCCACAAGCTCCACACTCAGGTCACACCTAACGGGGGCGTGCGCTCTATGCGCAGCAGGGATGAAGACTGGGATATTCCAAGGGGCTAAAAAAAGCTGCAAGGCGAAGCTGTCCAGCCTGAAGGTTCACGACGGTCAGTGTTCCAGAGGCTGGGACACGAGGGGCGGAACCAGAACCGACCGGCCAAGGAGCGGTTGGGGGTGAAGGTTCCCAAGCCAGGCAAATTCTACAAGCTAGAAGGTGGTAGGCGACCCGGTCAAACCGGGCGCTTTGACCCTCGCCTCCGTGATGAGCCCCGACACAACATGGTGCCTAGAGCGGAGGGCTAGGCGGAAAGCCAGCCTAGAGTGGTGATGCGCACGCATGCTGAACTACCCAGCAACCAAGTGGACAGAGCGGAAGAACGTTTGGAGACGCTCTTGAAGAGAATTCGTAGGGAGGAAAAGAAGAAAGTGGTGTTAACAACCATTTTATCATCCGCTAAGACCGGATATGTACCGTGCCAATGTTCAATAAAGTTTATACTTTTTCAGAAAAGATGGTAAGACCGGTTGGGGAAGGTTGCAGACCCATCTGCCCGGTCAGTGTTCAATCGAATTGAACACCATAAAACCACCCAGGCAGAACACCATATTTTTTCACAAAAGATGGTAAGACCGGTCGGGGAAGGTTGCAGACCCATCTGCCCGGTCAGTGTTCAATCGAATTGAGCATCACAAAACCACCCGCACCCGGGTGGAACACCATACTTCAATCAAATTGAACTAAAAAAGAAGATAAAAGTATGTGACACAGGCCCGACCTGGTACGCTGGTCTCACACCAGTCTTGCACATATTAAAAAAAACTGCGACCCAGTCGAACTGGTACACTGGTCTCACACCAGTCTTGTGCAGTATAAATAAAAAAAATAAAGAAAATATGTGACCCAGTCGAACTGGTACACTGGTCTCACACCAGTATTGCACATATTTTCTAACAAGCCTGAGCCCAATCGAATTGGGTACACCGGTTGCACATCGGTTTTAGCAAAAAAAAGAGCCCGGTTGGGCTGGGA